CTAGTGGGGGTGAAGGAGCCGAGGGCGAAGTTGGTGGTGCTTGGGACGCTGCTGAGAGGTAGGGGCCGTATATGACAAAGTAACGCATGAAAGTTCTATAAAGAACGACTGAATAAATTTATTTGCAACACGTCGTATCCCGGTGCATTTAGAGGCCAAGGTAAATCGACAGGTCCAGGAAATTTTGAAGGAAGGTATAATTGAGGAAGCAGGCAGCCCGTATAGCTCGCCGGTAGTCGTGGTAAAGAAACTCAAATGAAAGTATAGATTTTGTGTCGACTTTACAGAACTGAAACCCTGCGCAATGCCAAAAGTAGTAGAAACATTAGATTGGCTACAGAATGCCACTGTGTTTACAGTGCTGGATTTACGGTCAGGTTTTGGGCAACTGCTTATAAAAGATAGTGATCGCAACAAGACAGCATTTACTATACGGGATAAACAGTATCAATTTAAACGAATGCCATTCGGGTTGTTGGGTGCACCGTTTACTTTCAGAAGAATGATGACGTTGCTGCTTAAAGATCTCGATTATGTTAAGGTATATGTCGATGATGTAGTTGTATACAGCCTGAAGGAAACAGGTCATGTCAAGCATGTTGAAGTAGTCTTGAAGCAAATCGACGAATTTGGGCTTCGAATTAATAAAGAAAAGTCGCAGATAGCGACATAAAGTGGGAAATGGGGAAATAAAGCTATTACCAGAGAAACTTCTTACCATAAAAAATATTGCAGTACCTAGTTGGAAAAGGAAGTTGTGACAGTTTCTGGGAAGAGCGGCGTTCTATAGTCGGTTTGTCAAGAATTTCAACGAAATAGCAGCGCCCTTGTATAAGTTGCTGAGCATGGACTGAGGCTGCCGAACAAAGGTTCAACTGAATGAAAAACATGCTAGACGATCGTCAGATGACGCCGCGACTGCGTGAACCTGGAAAACTGTTTAAAGTGGCCACAGATGCAAGTGATCATGGTATAGGTGCGGTATATAGTCAGGCTGGTAGAGTGGGGGAATACGCAAGTCGCGTTCTCACACCCGCTGAGCAGAAGTATTCAACTATCGAAAAGGAGTGCCTAGCAATCCTGTGGGCAGTAGAAAAATGGAGACCCTACGTTTTAGGTAGACAATTTCACATTGAGACTGACCATAAACCCCTGCAGTGGTTGAGAACAGCAAGAGACCCCCGAGGGCAGTTGGCGCGGTGAATGATACGTCTGCAAGAACACGACTCCAGTATCGGCCATGTTCTAGGAAATGAAAACGTGATGGTGGATTACTTGTCAAGATCAGACATGGAAGATGACCTTCCAGTGACAGCATACGCGGTGAGTAGTTTAGATGGAGACCCATTAGAACTTATCTGGCAACAGAAAACTGACTCGAACCTTCGAGAGGTAATCAGAGTGATAAAAGAAGGAGAAGACGTAGACAAACGAACGACGGACAAGGAGGTAATAATGTTACTTCGGCAAAAGGAACGACTGAAAGTGAACGCATATGGAGTCCTGAGCTGGCAGGACGATGACAAGAATTAAGTGGCTGTAATCACGAAAGACAAGAACAGTGACCGAAGTGGTGATCCGGCATATTGTAGCGTGCCACGGAATACCGAAAATGATATTAACTGACCAGGGTCCCTGTTTTGAAATTGACGAGTTTAAAGACCGTCTAAAACAGTTAGGCATGAAGAGGATACGAACTTCACCGTATCATCCTCAGACAAACGGACTTACAGAGAGAAACATTGTAGGATCTTTGCCACCATCGCATGGGTATGATCACATACGCACGCGCATCGATCGTTTCACAAGATCACCGGAAGCTATTTCCATCACTTCTACTACTGTGGAAACATTTGCTCACCGCTCCGTAGAAAGATGGATAGCGCTGAAAGATTGTCCCTTGACTGTCAAAGCTGACCGAGGACAACAATCCGAGTCCGAATTATTCTCGTCGCTAACCCGGCTGCTTTGTACGGAGCGCATACGCACTACCGCCTGCCACCCAGCTCCAAATGGTTTAGTTGAACAGTTTGTTCGCCAACCTAAATGTGCTTTTCTGACATAACAACAATTCGTACTCAACCCTACCGCTCATTCTCTTAGGTATCAAAACGAGATTAAAGGCAGATATTCAATTTTCGGCCACTGAATCGGTATACGGCAAGACACTACGTCTGCCGGAGCAGTGATGATTACAATAACTCAGACTACATCCAATGATTGTCTGAATTTATGCGAGCTTTGCCTCCGGTGTCAACTTGAGTACAACAATGACAGGTCGCTCTCCCTCAAGAGTTGTCTACCTGTTAGTGTGTTTCCTTCTCAGTAAATTTATTACAAGGATATTTCACGTGATTTGTCGTCACGCAAAGACCTTAGAGGTTGATGGACACAGACAGTATTGATCGTCTCAATGCCAGTGCCCTAACAGGTAAATCGAGAATCAATGCTGCAATCGTCCAGCTCACTATCGGGATCCTTATTTTTCCTTCGGGTCCCACACTAGATGTATCGGAAACCTCAAAACATTATCCTCATACTACATGTATGCCACACCTTTCACTTTTTGTTTCGTTATTTATCCTGAGCCCATATATATGACCATCACGCTGTATGTACCGTCGACTTCAGTCAGTTTCGGTGTAAGCCTAACTGGTCACCCAGGCTCTTGTCAATGCATTCTGGTCCCGAATGTAGCTGGCACATCGAGGGTTTCGAACTAGGTCGTTTCCGACTCTGGCGTTTTCTGGTCCGAACGCCTGCGAACACAAACTTCAGACTTTGGATACGAGCCACGCTGGTGTGGCAAGCCAGTTCGAGCAGCAAACCTGGCACGTTACTACTGTTAAAGTTTAACGCCGACAACGTTCGTTGACAGCTCGATCTTTATTGATCGCTTCCTGTTCGTCAACTCCCACGCAGTACAAACACAAGTTGGCCGACCAGCTCCATCCGGACGATGCCTCTACGTATCGAAAATGTGGACAGTTTCTAGGGGAGGGGGCTGCTGTAGTGAAACAAGTCTACGAATAAAAAAACGACTTGTGAAATATAAACATTTAATAATGTACTCGTTTTGTTTAAATACACCAAAGACACTTTCTTGAGCACAGCTTTCTTTTCGCGTTGCTGCCATTTTCATAATTTGCTGTTCTCTATGTAATGCCCACTTTCTCCTTCAAATCAATATCAAAACATGGATTTATTTCTTTATAGTGTGAGAGGGAATAGCCAGTGATGATCAGTCAACCTCGACACGGTCACCCCTAAACTTGTAAGTAAGTAAGTAAGTAAGTAAGTAAGTAAGTTAGTAAGTAAATAAGTAAACGAGTAAGTACGTATGCAAGTAAGTAAGTAACTAAGTAAGCAACCAAGTAAGTAAGTAGCTGATTAAGTCAGTGAACAAGTTAGTAAGTGTGTAAGTAAGTAAGCAAGCGTGTAGGTAAGCAAGTAAGCAAGCAAGCAGGTAAGTAAATAACTGAGTACGTAATTAAGCATTCATGTAAGTAAGAAATTATGCAAGGAAGTAGGTAAGCAAGCGAATAAATAAGTAAGAAATTGTATGAGAGAGCAATTAAGTTAAAATGTAAGTAAATAAGCAAGCAAGTACATAACTGAATAAGTAAGTAGGTAAATAAATAAGTAAGCGAGTATGTAGGCATGTAAGTAACTAAATAAGTAAGCAACTAACTAAGAAGGTAACTAAGTGAGTTAGCAAATAAGTAAGTTAGGAATTAATCAAGTAAGCAAGCAAATAAGTAACTTAATAAGTCAGGTGAGTTTATTGGAACAGAAAGAAAGATAGCTGGACCGTATGCTGTTGCTTCCCCACAAACGACCTGATGTAGGATCCAATAGAGTCACATTTCTATCATCCATTGATGAAGAGCCCCGAAAGTAGACTGACACTCATTTTCGAGTATTGATCATTGGCTTACACAATCACGTGATTGTTTTTAGCCTACTCGACTCAAGGAAGACAACAGAGAAACCCTCTCATATTTTGCTTAACGACGACAAAGCCTAGAATATGTGTCAGGAGAAACTAGAAAAACAGTTGTGAAGCGATATCAATGATGTCCATCACGAGGCAGCTAGAAATGACCTGAAAAAGCTGAACTGAGATCCATCTTTTCGATGCTGCCACCTGAAGCTGAGCATCGACTGACTCACTGACTTTCTATTCTCTGTAGGCCCTCTACAGATGTTTTTCGCATTTGTTCACCATTGTTTAGGGCAATTTTCGCAAGGTTCTGCGTAATGAAAGTTAACGTGGACTCATCGATTTTGATAGTATCAGAGTATGACATCATTAAATATCTTTCACTACTTTTCTGTCATCTTACGTTGCTTATTTCATGTCATCTCTGGACCTTCATAAATTCATGAAATTCGCTGCCATAATTGTTGGAAGCATAGCAATGAAAGATATTAATCTCAATACGTTCTTCGTTTCGAGAGAAGTTTGATGAGAACTACATCCTTTAATGATTTTGCACGCTTCTTGAGACAGCGCCAGAGCAGCTCTTTGAGTACAAGAGCCAAGCGAAAGCTCACGACTAGTATACAACAACGCCCCATCCGAATTAATCTTTCTTTTTCGGGTTGCACCTTAGGATTTTCAATTAATCCAAAAAGTATTTCCTAGTATTTTCTTCTTTTTTCTGCTACATATATCATCCGTTCAGTGTTTTACACACCGACTTGCCAAAATATTATTTATATCTGACAGTGACATTTAATTTATGTAAATAAAAAAGAGAAGTCCAGAATGCAACCAAACTTTATTTGCAACAAAACAGTAAAACAATAACAACGTTAATGATACACACCAATAAGCATGACAAAATATGTTATAAGCAAAGCAATCGATTGAGTGTATTATATCAATTTAGTATGATCGGTAGAAGTAAAAAAAAATGGAGAGTATACGTAAAAAATTTCAAACATTGCTGACAGCATTCTGAAGAAAAGCTTGTCCGAAACCGAAACTCGGAATATCATTCTAGAGAAAAGAAAATAGGGGACAGGTAGTAATTTTGACATGGTGAAATCGAAAAAAATTCAACCTGTCGACAGAAGTGAGAGGAAAATGGAATGTTGATCAAATAATTTTAAAAAAATTACAGAGTTGTAAGAAATATTGTAAATCTCGAACTTATAAGCAAGTGCACTGGATTAGCAAATGGAGCGTCAAATGTTCAGCCATCAATGGCGAAGTTTTTCGAAGCTTAGCATCTGTCATACGCATCTTAAATGCGCTGTTTTATCATCAAACCGAGTATGATTTTTAAACGTCCCTACAATCAGTAAATCCGACTCTAACGATTGCTCCAGACAGCAAACTCGACGAAGTTACTTCGGCGTGATATCATACAGATTGTTGAGTGTTCACAAAATGTGCAGTTGAATGCATGGCAGTTTTACCTATACATAAGCCATTTCGATCATTGGTATAGATCACTGCTTGCTCTACTCACTATTTGTCATCTGCATTTTGCTAATTCATTACCGAAAGAGCTCATTTTTTTCCTTTTATTTTTTTTGGCACATGCTTGTTTAGTATTCACATCATGCTGACTCGACTGTCCTACACTGTCTTCTAGTCTAGCAGCATAGAAATTTTGACTGTCATCATTTCCAGCCCTACTTACTACAAGTTCTCCACACATTATGCCTTGTCTAACTCAAACTTACATTTATCTTACTTGAAAATTCCGCGTACGTCAATAACAAATTAAACAATGCGATGTACTAGACTAAATTTCGAATTTCACAGATTAAACCGTTTCAATGTAAAAACAACATCATATCATGGTGACACATAGGTTTCCGCATTGCTGATCAGGAAATTTCAGAATAAGGATCAACGAGAGTGACAAAATGCATCAAACAAGCATGTACAAATCAACTTAGATTGTCTATACACTAGTTAACAGTAAAATATGTAATTAAGTTAATATGTTTCGAAGTCTTAATTGTGTGGTCTCGAGTTATAATCAGATTTTCTTCAAAGATGGAGATTGGTCACATCAATGTCGAAAAGTTTGTTACATTCACCAAACCGAATAAGAAATTCAGATGGCACAAAAAACAAATTCGAAAAAAATATGGCTCAAAATTTTCATGAGATTTTTCTGTAGAACACATACTAAATTCGAATGGGTCGATTATGTCAGTCTCACCATATGATGATATCATACAGCTTGATCGGTCGTCAGATCCTGACGAGTCAAGCTAATGGCATGGATTATTTCAATGGTGCTGACTACAGAATTACACACAATCTCTTCAGTAAATTTTGCTTCCTTTCCAAGTAAAAGTAAGAATTTTCACTGAAATATATATAGGCTCATGTAATATTCACTGATACTTGTAGTTAAATGGAGTATGCAAATGGAAATACGAAAAGGAAGTTGTGCAAAATATAATATTAACTAATAGTTACTCATTCACTTACCTTCATCCAGATCATCTTCAGCATCTGAAACGATTTGAAATGAAAATTCTTTATCAGGTCATGTCGCCTACCATCTATAAAAGATTGCATTATTATCATTCATTCACTAAGTAATCGAACACGATAAGATGCTTGTGTGTTCCATTGCTCTGAATGTGTGACAGAAATAATGTAAGATAGATCTATTGGAAAACATTACACTGTGAATCCAGCGTCATACATACCTTCACGAACATTGACAGCTGAATCGGGATAAATTTCAAACAAAAAACAGTGTAAAATTATTTCGAATTTGTGCTAAATCATGCCACAGAAACTGCGATTCACTATGAAACTGCAGGAACATTCAGTAAATTGACTAACACAATTGCATTCTCATGACTGCTTCTGCCGAAATTCTTCGATGACACACAGCGATCGTACTCATCCTAAGTAGATTATTGCATCATGAAACTGAGTGTGATATTCAAACGTCCACACAATCAGTGAATTCGACTCTATCTCTTGTGTCACTCAGTAAATACGACAATGTGAATTCAACATTATCGTTTACACTCACATTGGTCGAAACATCATGATGAGTTGACTGGATTACATTATGAATTTCAGTGTGACTGCATAGATTACTTCAATATAACTGACCACACATGTGCGCACAATCTGTGTAGTATAGTTTCATTATGTTTGCATACGAAAGTCTGAATCTCCTGTTTTAGTATATAGGCCTATCACAAAATTCCGTCATCGTTTTGGCATAATCGATTGAGCATATTCAAACATTATGATAAAGTTTATTCAAACATATGAATTCATAATAGTTAATAATTCACTTACCATTATCCAGAGCATTTTGCGCAGCTGAAACGATTTGAAATGAAAATTAATTATCGATTCATGTCTCTTATCATCATTATCAGATTGTACTATCATCATTTATTCACTATATAATTGAAGTTGCTGGAATTAACTGAACACAATAAGATGCTTGCTCTCGTTGAACAAAGTCGATATTTTTCGATGAAGCACAAATGTTATATTGATCCGTAATTTATTATTCTATCATCGAACCGGATGTGTTCCTTAAACGACCCTACACTCGCTATATGGGACTATATGATTTCTGTTAGTCAGAGAATTACATGATGTGAGTTCGACGCGATATTATACAGAGTGTTGAATAGACACATCATTTTGAGTTGACTGCATGGTAATTAGACTAATGGTGAATTAGTTTTGACTATTTGCCGAATATCGATGCTTGATCGGCACACCGCCTCTCATCTACATTTTACGGATTCTTCACCATGGGAACTCAGTTTTCAACTTATTTTGACGTATGCTAGTTTCGAACTCTCGTGTAGCATTGTTCTGAATATGTAACAGAAATAATGTAAGATAGATCTATTGGAAAACATTACACTGTGAATCCAGCGTCATACATACCTTCACGAACATTGACAGCTGAATCGGGATAAATTTCAAACAAAAAACAGTGTAAAATTATTTCGAATTTGTGCTAAATCATGCCACAGAAACTGCGATTCACTATGAAACTGCAGGAACATTCAGTAAATTGACTAACACAATTGCATTCTCATGACTGCTTCTGCCGAAATTCTTCGATGACACACAGCGATCGTACTCATCCTAAGTAGATTATTGCATCATGAAACTGAGTGTGATATTCAAACGTCCACACAATCAGTGAATTCGACTCTATCTCTTGTGTCACTCAGTAAATACGACAATGTGAATTCAACATTATCGTTTACACTCACATTGGTCGAAACATCATGATGAGTTGACTGGATTACATTATGAATTTCAGTGTGACTGCATAGATTACTTCAATATAACTGACCACACATGTGCGCACAATCTGTGTAGTATAGTTTCATTATGTTTGCATACGAAAGTCTGAATCTCCTGTTTTAGTATATAGGCCTATCACAAAATTCCGTCATCGTTTTCGCATGATCGAATGAGCATATTCAAACATTATGATGAAGTATATTCAAACATATAAATACATAATAGTTATTCATTCACTTACCTTCATCCAGAGCATTTTGTGCAGCTGAAACGATTTGAAATGAAAATTTATTATCAAGTCATGTCTCCTATCATCATTATCAGATTGTATTATCATCATTCATTCACTATATAATTGATGTTGCTGGAATTAACTGAACACAATAAGATGCTTGCTCTCGTTGAACAAAGTCGATATTTTTCGATGAATCACAAATGTTATACTCATCTGGAATATATTGAATTCGGACCATTGTGAATGATTTAATCAAACTGCTTCACAGTCAACTATTTCGATGGTTACGATTGTGTCGTTCGGCAAAATAATGGTGCCACTTTAGCGTGATAACCTAAAGATTGTTGAATAAACACATCACTTAGAGTTGAGGGCATGACATTTCGACTGAAACTTGAGCAATTTCGACCATCTCAATAAAACTAATGCTTGTTACACTTGCTATCTCTCATTTATATTTTACACAATCTTCACCATAATAACCTAATGTTCTCCTTTTATTTTATGACTTACGCTAGTTTTAGTCACACAATGAGAATAGTTGTGAATCCATATGAGAGAAAAACGGAGGAAGAATTATTCAAAGTAAATATACAGTGAAATCAGCGTTACACATACCGGCTACTCCTTCGCGAGCTGAAGTTGAAATGTTAAACAAAACCTAGCATGATATTGTTTCACATGTCAGCATAGTCACATAACAGAATCTGTTATTCACAATGAAATATTCTGCATCTCTAGTAAATGGAAAGCCACAGCTTCATGCCATCAACAATTGCTACAGAAACTCTCAAACGTCTGGCATATGTCATACTCACTAGATGTGTATTATCCTATCACCAAACTGAATGCATCAATAATGTCAGTCTCACCATACGATGATATCATACATCTTGATCGGTCGTCAGATCCTGACGATTCAACTTCAATACACTGTGTCCTTCAAACTGACGGCAAAGATTATTTCAATGTTACTGACTACAGAAGTACACAAAATCTATTCAGAACATTTTTTGTTAATTTGAATGTCTTAATTTTTCATTGAAATATTTCAGCTTCCGCATTTTACAGTCTGACTGTTTCCCTTCGTTTTTATTTTTATGTGATCCTATTTAATAGTATAAATTTTAATGGTCAATCTTTTACATACCCGTCTCAAGATCTTTCTGGCGAGCTGTATTGATTTGAAATTCAAAATCGATATCAAGTTTATTCATCAATAAAGAATGTCTGATGTAGTTATTATCTGTGATTCACCATGCAATAATATTACCTCAGTTTCTGGTCAAACTACGATGAATGCTGTTATCACTCTAGTTCAATATTCTCATATTGATAAACAAATTTTATTCTCTTATGTGGTGTGAGATTCTTAAACGATGCTGAATGTGCTCTCAAAGCGTGTAAGTTATCGAAGAATTCAAATATAACGATTGCGTCAGTACACCGATTCGGTGATATGACTCTTAAGCACGTTTAATCCTAATCGCTAAATAATTTTTGAATTTCTTTTGTTTTCACGCGTAATTCACTTAGTTGATATTTAGCCTACATTTTCCATTCGTGAAATCTTGGACTGTCATTGCTTTATGGATATTTTTGGACGCTTTTTTGAAGGTTTGTCAATCACATCTCAACCAATGTATATTTAGGCATGATTTGTCTGCTTGTCATCCTAGCATTTTCTGAGTGATTTCATATTGCAATCCGAGTAAAATGAAATAAGAACGCGCCCATTGCATTGACTGAATCCGAATCGTAAACGCACTCTCATTGACATGACCAATGAATGCCGAAATCTCAATAATATGCAACGAAACACGAATGTGGCTCGCAATCGTAGGCCTGGTGGATTTAAAGTTCGTGTAGTTCAACATACATCTATTCGGAATTCGAATTCCCTTTCTACACGCAGTCCATCCTAATCCAGCTCAGTCCGCAAAAAGGAAAAGAACCCCTCGCTCCTTGCTGGCGCTTTGTTTCCTGCAAATATGTTCAACATGATATCATAAAGATCGTTGTGTGGTGACATAATTTCAGTGGACTGCATGGCATTTTAATTATTATCACATCAGATTCAACTGTTTGACTTATATCAGTGATGTACTACTAACTACATGTCATGTACATTTTACGTATTCTTCCAATAAAAACTGAACGTTCTCCTTAGATTTAGCGGCTTTGGCTAGTTTCAATCACTCATTTGGTGTTGTTGTAAGTCCATGTGAGAAGAGTTGTAAATAGACGCGTTCGTAAACATTTTACAATCAACTCACAATCTTTTTGTCTTGTCGCTGAAAGTGAAGAAATTTCAAATAAAAACAAGTATGAATTCATATCGCATTGGTGCGAAATAACCAGGTAAATGTCATCTTCTTCAGTGATTTAAAAATCAACGCTTCGTGCTGTCGATTACCACTGCCGAAATTCTTTGACGCCTAATATCTGTCATACCCATCTGATAAGTACTATTCTATCATGAAACCGAATGTGATTTTCACACGGCCCTTTCAATGAGCATATCCTTATAGATCGTATGTGTAAGGTTCCAAATGCGATGAAATCATACAGCTTCAGTGGTCGAAACATCATGATGAGTCAACTGCATTACATGGTGTCTGTTAGTCTGACTGCGTAGATAAATTCAATGTTACCGACAACATATATACACACAATCTTTTCAGAACCTTTTGCTCTGTTTCCACGTAAAAGTCTACATTTTCTCTTGCAATATATATAGGTCAGCAAAATGTACAATCAATCCCGTGGCATAATCAAGAATGCATGCCATAAAATAAGCATCAGGGTAATTCGAAATGCGGAATCCATGTTAGTTAATATTTAAGTACCTGATTCTAGGCGGGCTTCTGCAGCTGAAATTATTCCAAAGTAAAAATCATTGTCAAGTTATTCCAAATATTCGCGATATCAGATTGTGTTATCATCTTTGATTTCCTATGCTGGAAATAACTGCACGAAATCCTACGAAACAGGGTCGTTATTCCCCTCTTAAATCTATTATTCCATCACCAAACTGTATGTGATTTTCATACGCTACTAAAAATGGCAAGTTGAGATGTCTCGTTTGTTTAGCCAGCAAACTCACAGATTTGAATTCAACGTTATATCATACAGATTATTGAATAGTTACATCTTGAGTTAGGTCACAGTATTCGGACAAAAAGTATATCAGATTTGACTATTAGTCAAATATCGCTCGTTATGTGCTTAATAACTGTCATGTATATTTTACAGGTTTTTCACCATAAGAATTCAGTTATCAACTTATTTGTACGAATGCTAGTTTAAATCTCTCGATGTCCACTGTTTAAAATCTATGTCAGTAAAATAGAATACAGATCTTTACGAAGATATTATACCCTGAACACAGTGTTACACATACCTCTTAAACGCTTTTCTTCTGGCGAGGGAGAAATTTCAAGAGAAAACCAGCGTGAATTTATGTCACACTTTCAAGAAATCATGCCACAGAAACTGCGATTTACCACGAAATTCCCTGCCTATTCATTGAATCTGCAACCACAGCTACGTACAGTCAAATATCTCTGCCGAAATTCTCTGATCCCTGGCATCTGTAATACCTATCTGATGTGTGTTGTTCTGTCATCAAACTGATTGTGATTTTCAAACGGACCGACATTTGCTAATCTAGAATGTATCGATTGCGATAGTCTCCAAATGCGATGATATCACAGCTTGATAAATCGTCGCACCCTGGTGAGTCGACATAATAAAATTTCATCTTTCAATTTGACTGCAAAGATAATTTTAATGTTACTAACCACAAATGTACAGACCATCTCTTCAGAAAAGTTTGGTATGTTTTTACGTGAAAGTCTCAATTTTCTCTTCATATATAGGCTTATGCAAATGACATATTACATAGTCATGAAAATATATTTGAGAACAAGTTACGATCGTTTTATAAAATGCAATTTTCGGTAGTAAAATTTTCACTTGCCTTCCCGCTTTCCAGTTTCTGCTTCTAGAATAATTTCAAATTAAAAATAAGTATCCTTATGTATTTGATTAAGCTAGTAATTATTGCATACACTCAGATGCTTGCTTTTGATAAACTGATTCGAAACTCTCTCCATTATATAGAAGAGTGATAGTCATATAAAATGTGAAGTTCTTACGCGAAACAGAATGTATGTTTTTCCTGATTGCCGGTTATTACCGAATTCGAAATTAAAAAATGCATCTGCTAGCGGAAATCATGATATGACTTCAATAAAATATCATACCATTTATTGAATAGTCAAGTGATTTTCAGTTGATTCCATCGTATTTCGACAAATAGTATATCAGATATGACTATTCGTCGAACATCGATGCTTGGACTAGTTACTAAGAGTCATCTGCATTTAACGGATCCATGATCATAAGGGCTAAATGTTCTCTTTCAATTTCGTGACGTGTGGTAATTTTATGTATTGTTCTTAATACATATGTAGAGCAAACGAAGGTAGAACTATTCGAAATAATAATCATAGATTTAGATCACTGTGACACTCACTATGTTTGGCTTCTCTAGCTAGAATTAAAAAAAAATTCAGGTAAAAACTAATATGAATTTATATCGCATTGGTGCAAAATCATTCTACAGCATTTATTTAAAACCAGCTTTATATCATTTTCATGAGTGAATAGGCGAACTCAGCTATGTTTTCTTGACCATCACTGACGAAATTCATCGAAGTCAAACATGTAAAAAAAAATTAGCAAATCCGGATCTATCTATTGTGTCATTTGGCAAACGTAATGACATGAATTCGGCGATAAATATTTTTTTCCGCTTGATTGGATGTCACATCATGATGATTCGAATGCATTACTTAGTGTCTTTTAATCTGATTGCATTAAATATATTAATTGTACTTATTACTGAAATACACACTTATCTTTCCTAAACATATTCCTATATTTTTTTCACGTACAATGATCATCATTCATTTGAAAAGTATAGGCTTATACCATTTACTCTCATTAGTATTATTTAGTAATGGATACGTATGGAAAAATTTTTGAGAAGTTTATTGAGAAATAAAATCTTATGACATAAAGATTTTTAACATACCTACTGATTTCTTTCTCATTTCCTCTATTGAGATTTCAGAGTGAAAAACAGTATCAAGTTATTTCACATAGGCCCAATATCAGACAGTCTTAAACTCTATGATTTATCATGCAATACTAGTAATTATTGCACATAATCAGATGTTGATCTCGGTAAACTGAACGGAAATTCACTAGTCACATGATTTTTAGTTGATTCCATAGTATTTCGTTAAATAGTATATCAGATTGGACCATTCGTCGAACATCGATGCTTGGACTAGTTACCAAGAGTCATCTGCATTTAACGGATCCATGATCATAAGGGCTAAATGTCCTATTTCAATTCCGTGATGTGTGGTAATTTTAATCAGTCGACATGTATTGTTATTAATACATGTGTAGAGCAAACGACGATAGAACTATTCGAAATAATAATCATACATTTATATCACCGTGACACGTACCACGAATTATGTCGTTATCTGAAGATGAAAAATTACAAATAAAAACCAGTATGATTGTAATCCGAATTTCAGAATATTAATAAAATTGAAAATGTTATTCACAATGAAATTAATGGCATCTTCTCAGTGAATTGAAAAACAGAGCTACGTGCTGTCAAACATCGCTAGTGAAATTCTTCGAATCCTATTATCTGTCATACACATGTGATAGATACTATTCCATGACAAATGCGATTTTCCAATAACCCTACAATCAGCAAATCCGACTCTATCTATTGTCACTCAGAAAAATACGATGAGGTGAATTTGACGTGAAATTGTACAGCTTTGTCGGTTGTTATATCATGATGATTCGACTGCATCACATTTTGTCTTTCAGTCTGACTGTTAAGATTACTTGAATATTAATGACTACATATGCACTCACAATCTCTTTAGAAAACTTTGCTATGTTTTCACGTGAAAGTCTCAATATTTTCTTGAAATATATAGGCCTATTACAAAGTTCAATCATCATTTGTGTCATAATCAGGTGTACATATTAGAAAATAAAAATGACCTTCGTGCAAACGTATAAATACATAATAGTAAATGATTCATTTACTTGTCCTCATGTTCTCATTTATTTCTGAAATAATTTTAAATTGAAAATCAGTGTCAAGTTATTTCACACATTAGCAATATGAAATTGTAATATAATCTTTTGTTTATTCTTTTTGAAATTGATGTTCCTGAAATTATTTGCACACACTCAGATGCTGCGCTTTATTGAACTGATTTGATTTCTTTCCATGAAACAGAAAAGTTTTACTCATCCAGATTATCTCATATTCTCGTATAACATGATGTTATTTCCAAACAGTTCTATAAATTGCAAGCCCTGCTATGTCGTTTGTGTATATTCAGAGAATAAGATAAAAATATTCGAATGTGAAGTCATTTAGCATGTTGAGAGAAAGCATTAATTTTATTTCATTTCAACTAATAATAAATTCAATTTGTTTATTTAAATTATATCAATGCTTTTCTAGTAAATTGAGCATTTTGCGTATTCCTTCAATAAATATTCAATTTACTCTTTTAATTTTGTGGCTTATGCTAGTTTCAATCACTGGATATAATAGAGGAATATTCGAAAAACTATTTGGATTAAAATCGGTGGTATACTTACCATGTATCTCAGTCAATGCTGAATATGAAAGAATTTCAAATAAAAAACAATATGAACTTATATCATACGGGTGCAAAATCATTCTTTCGAATATATATGAAACCAGGAAGATGTTGGTTTCGTCAGTATATTGGCAACAACAGTTTCGAGCTGTCGATCATCGCTGCTGAAATTGTTTGTTTCCTAGCACCAAGCATACACATTTAAAGTGTATGATCCTACCATCAAAGTGAATGTGATTTTCAAACAACCCTACAATCAGCGAATCCGATTCTAACTATTGTCACTCAGCAAATGTGATGATAAGACTTTGACGTAATATTAAACAGCTTGATTGGGTGCCACATCATGACGATTTGACCTCATTACATTGTGTGTTTTAGTCTGACTGTTAAGATTAATTCAAAATTACTCATCTCAGATGCACACACAATCTCTGTTTTCACGTTAAAATCTTAGTTTTTCCCACTGCAATATATTTAGGCCTTTGCAATATTCACTAATCCTGTAGCCTAATCCAGTTGACAAAGCGAAATACGAAAAAGACGTTGTGCAAATATATAAATACATAAGAGTTGTTGGTGCACTTACCTTCATCCAGCTCCTTTTGTGACTCTGAAGCGATTTTATAATGGAAAATATTTAAAAGTCATGTCTCCTATCATCATTATCAGATTGTATTATCATCATTCATTCACTATATAACTGATGTTGCTGGAATTGAACGAACACAATAAGATGCTTGCTCTCGTTGAACAAAGTCGATATTTTTCGATGAAGCACAAATGTTATATTGATCCGTAATTTATTATTCTATCATCGAACCGGATGTGTTCCTTAAACGACCCTACACTCGCTATGTGAGACTATATGATTTCTGTTAGTCAGAGAATTACATGATGTGAGTTCGACGCGATATTATACAGAGTGTTGAATAGACACATCATTTTGAGTTGACTGCATGGTAATTGGACTAATGGTGAATTAAATTTGACTATTTGCCGAATATCGATGCTTGATCGGCACACCGCCTCTCATCTACATTTTACGGATTCTTCACCATGGGAACTCAGTTTTCAACTTATTTTGACGTATGCTAGTTTCGAACTCTCGTGTAGCATTGTTCTGAATATGTAACAGAAATAATGTAAGATTGATCTATTGGAAAACATTACACTGTGAATCTAGCGTCATACATACCTTCACGAACTTTGATAGCTGAATCGGGATAAATTTCAAACAAAAAACAGTGCAAAATCATTTCGAATTAGTGCTACATCATGCCACAGAAACTGCAATTCACTATGAAACTGCAGGAACATTCAGTAAATTGACTAACACAATTGCATTCTCACGACTGCTTCTGCCGAAATTCTTCGATGACACACAGCGATCGTACTCATCCTAAGTAGATTATTGCATCATGAAACTGAGTGCGTTATTCAAACGTCCACACAATCAGCGAATTCGACTCTATCTCTTGTGTCACTCAGTAAATACGACAATGTGAATTCAACATTATCGTTTACACACATTGGTCGAAACATCATGATGAGTTGACTGGATTACATTGTGATTTTCAGTGTGACTGCATAGATTACTTCAATATAACTGACCACACATGTGTGCACAATCTGTGTAGTATAGTGTCATTATGTTTGCATACGAAAGTCTGAATCTACTGTTTTAGTATATAGGCCTATCACAAAATTCCGTCATCGTTTTGGCATAATCGATTGAGCACATTCAAAAATTGTGATTAAGTATATTCAAACATATAAATACATAATAGTTAATAATTCACTTACCTTCATCCTTTGTTTGTGGCATCGCTGAAAGTATTTCAAAATAAAAATCAATGTCAAGTTATTTCACTTATTCGCTTCATCAAATGATAATATCATCATTCTCTGTTGATCAATTCGCGTGTATTCTCATGGAATTTTCAACCTTTTCTTCCTATATATAAATGGTTTCGCATTACATTGCGACTGCTCTTTTATTTTCATTGATATAGATACTGAGATATAGATAGTAAACATATTTCAGTCTATTTAATTATTGCTTGGCTGATGTTCTCATAGGATATAAATCTTTTTAAATTGACCTCACCTTCATTATTTTCGTCTTAAATATTTGAATTTTTCACATCCTTCTTTTAATGTAGTATTCAGATCATAAGAAGATACATTTATTGTGACGTGTCGTTTAATCATTTTGTACAATTAATTGCTATTTTCGCTATTTTTGTATCATTTCCCATCTCTGAAGTTTCATGTTATGTTTACCTAATGCTCTCACTATATATGCCCTTACAATTCATCTGCACATTGTCTACAATCTTTGATAATGTATTTTTTCTAACATCAGTAATAGTAACGTTTCACGATGCTGTCAAATTTAAATTTAATTTTTTTTATATATCAGTTTAATTATCATGAATATGATAAGCACCTAATACTTGTACATTAGAAATTAATTTATGCAACAAGCTAATTGGCTTGATGCATATCTTAGTATTTGATTATCTTTTTGTTTTCTCTCAGATAATTCGTATCATACACCTTTGTACTGAATTTGATTTTACTACAGTTGAACGCAAAGTTACATTCCCATATATTCCTCACTATGAGGTTAGGTACTTTTATTCACTAATGTACTACTTTTAAGCGTTGTAGTAGTAGTTTAATCCGTACCGAATCAAGCAGCAGTAATTTTGTCGTTATTTAATGAACTAATTGATTTTCTTGCCGTATCTGTGATGTAGAAACCTGAACATTTTGCTTTTTGACAAACATTCACTGATATTTCACATTATGGACAGTGCTCAATATCTCAATACATCTCAACCTAACACTCGGTGAATAGGAGAGTTCTACTCTCCTAATTCAGTATGATATCCATTAAGTGCATTCGATAGTGCCTGTAGTGCATAAGTTCATTGTTCATTTTAAATGATTTTTTCTTGATCGTCATGTTACTGAACCCGGTTTGTATGCATCTCGTGTCTACATTGTGACTTTAACTCAATGAAAAATACAAATGCTATGAAAAGCTTAACTCAGTCTCTGTAATTATTTTCATCGATTTTTAACCATGTGAACATCTTCATCTTTTTGAAAATAGTTGCTTGTATAACATTAGATCACGACATAATAATTTTCCTGCCTTTTACTTAATATGTTGTAGTGGAACGCTTCTAAGGAGAAGATATGATTTGTGAAAAATAAACATTATTGTACTCGTTTTGTTTAACTGTACCAAAAACACTTCTACGAATTCTTGCGCGCAACGTTCTGTTCGCGTTGCTGCCATTTTCTCTATTTGCTGCTCTCCATGTAATGCCAACGTTCTCCTTCAATATAAAACTCAACCATGGATTTGTTTTGTTGTGCTTTTAGTCATGACGGGATATCATGGAAAATTTAGTGGTGAGCATGGTCAATCTGGTATCTGGATTCGCTCACAACAATTGGTGAGACCGACGTTTCTTCTGAAGGAGTCAATTACGGTGAGTCTACTATTCATCTATCACCATATTTATAATGTTGCAATGCTATTAATAAAGTCTTTAATATATATTATACTTGCTATACTAGCTATGATAATAGACTCCGAGTTGCAGGTCATTGCATGTTAACCTGTCTCCTCCCGTCACTTCAGGTTGTTGGTTTATTTTACGTGCTCGACTTTTGCACTAAGCCTAGGTACCTGGTGGCCACAAGTGCCCAAGTTTCTGTTGTATCGTTTGGTAGCAGTAAGTCATATGCTACGATGGTTCGACCACGCGCTGCGAATGACTCTGTCATTCCTACCTACGGTACACGACAGCTAACTATCAACCTGAATATCCGACGACAGTATATATGGACGTTCATCCCTTCTGATGTTCTCATAGCCATACTCGGTATCGATCCCTTACAGCACTATGAATTGCTATTCGATTCACGTAGGCTGCGTTAGTCCATACTTCGTCGAATACCAAATCCATGGTTTTCAACGCGCAAACAGATATGTACCAAATCATTGATTTATATATTTTTTGCATTACTATTTATTTCATGTCATATTCGATAAATTCAACAAAGTAACGAAACCGAGGAGATTTAACTGGTGATTATTTATGTGGTAAGCCACATCGTCACCTGCAGACCCCCAATCACGGAAAAACTTCGCTGACTGGCACTGGACAACTTAGTTTTCGCTAAGAGTGAGTTGGACAGTTTACTTGTTATATGTATTACTTCGTCTTTCTCACAGTCCTTAAGACTCCTCTTTCCGCTCGGTTCGCAGAAAGATGGCATTTGTTGGAGACGACATGGCGATTACGGAGCAGCAACGGCAGATATCCAATGTCCTGCCTCCGAACTTGTATACGGCACGACATTGCATCTGCCTAGGGTAATTTCATCACACCACGGAGCAGCAATTTTATGTATATCACATAACGTCCAACGACTATCTGCGTAGATGCGAATACTGCCTCCGGTGTGAACTTGAATATTGTGTCTTTTCGTCTGACTGTTAAGATTCCTTCAATATTACTGATCTCAGATGCACACACAATCTCTGTAGAACAAATCGCTTTGTTTTCACGTTAAAATCTTAATTTTTCCCAGTGCAATATGTAAAGGCTTTTGTAGTATTCACACATCCTTGTAGCATAATTGAGTATGCAAAAGAAATACGAAAAAGACGTTGTGCAAATATATAAATACATAAGAGATATTGATGCACTTACCATTATCCAGCTGCACTCGTGATTCTGAAGCGATTTTAAAATGGAAAATATTTAAAAGTCATTTCACCTATCATCAATTTCAGATTGTATTATTATCTTTCATTCACTATGTAATTCATGTTGTTGGAATTAAACGAACACAATAAGATGCTTGCTCTCGTTGAACAAAGTCGATATTTTTCGATGAAGCACAAATGTTATACTCATCCGTAATTTATTATTCTATCATCAAACCGAATGTGTTCCTCAAACGACCCTACACTCGATATGTGGGAATATATGATTTCTGTTAGTCAGAGAATTCTATGATTTGAGTTCGACGTGATATTATCAGTCAGTCAGTTGCAACGTAGAACTTCGTACGTATGTACATAAGTTCATGTTGCCATACCACATTATTATCACAGAGATGCAAATGTCAAATCAAATCCCATAGTGATAAAGATAGTAGAGGTATTAATGTTATAATAAAGAAGACTAGGGTTTAAGATATTATTCAAAAAATATAATTCAGTGAGATAAGGTTAGAAAGACAAAGAGGTACAGGTGCTGGCTAATCCAGAAGATTAGGATTTGAGAGAGCTCAAAGAGTGGATGCACCTGCGCCATTGCAAACGATTTTGAGCCATGTAGTTCAAGGTCTCTAACCATTGGTGACTTTCGTCTCGTGGACCCCAACCAGGTAGTTTACATCTACCAACATGACTCAGTCCACTTGTCAGTGACTTCATGGATTTGTGCCATGTTTTGGTCTGGCCGCCCCTAGCTTTCTTCCAACCTACTCCTACACCACAAAACATAGCTCGTCGAGGCAGTCGGTGGTTAGGCATACGTAACACATGTCCCAACCACCTCAACTGATGAAGTTTCACCACTTCATCGATTGATCTGCCATCCTTACCTAGTACTCGTTTCCTAACGACAGCATTGCTTACTCGGCTGTCCCACGATATACGAGCAATGCTTCTTAAACATCTATGATCGAATACTAGTAACCTACGAACATCTTCTACTCTTAACGGCTGAGATTTCGTCAGTCACCAGACCGTCAGCACTGATGAGACTCCCCAGATAAGTAAAGTGATCTACACGCTCGACTACTTCACTCCCTATCACTAGTTCAGGTGCCGATGCAACCCAGTCTTGAAGCAACATTTTGCATTTCGAGGGGGAAAACCGCATCCCGAACATGCTCGCATTGTTGCTTATGGTAGTCAGAAGACTCTGCATTTTGTCAGCGTCTTCACCGAATAGAACTATGTCATCGGCATATTCTAGATCAGTAAGCGACTTTCCTGGTAGAAGGTCAACCCCTGAAAAATCTGACGAGCTCAATGTTAACTCTAAGAAGATGTCTACGACAAAGTTGAACAAGAATGGAGAGAGTGAACAGCCCTGACGGACACCACTTGATGTTGAGAATTCAGATGACAGTTCGCCATATGCTCTCACCCGACCAGTGGTGTTCGAGTAGAGTGCTTGTATAAGGTTAATGTACTTCTTTGGTACACCTTTCAATGACAGACACTGCCACAGAACCTCACGATCCACTGAGTCGAATGCCGCCTTAAGGTCCAGGAACACGACTATTGTCGAACGTCTAAATGTGTGTCTGTGTTCCAGGACCTGTCGTAGTGTGAAGATGTGGTCTATACAACCACGTCCAGGTCAAAAACCAGACTGGTCTTCTCTAATCTGCTCTTCACGAGCTTTCGTTAAGCCTCGAAGTATTACTGAGGCCAATATTTTAGATACTATATTAGTTAGACTGATTCTCCTGTGATTGTCACAAGAAGACTTTTGTCCTTTCTTATAGATTGGGAGAATCAGTGATTGAGACCAGTCGGATGGGATTACGTCCAGTTCCCAGATTCTACCTAAGATTTCAGTCAACCTAGTTGCTAAGACTGGACCACCATCCTTAAATATCTTAGCGGTCGGTCTATCAGGACCCGCAGCTCGCCCTTGCTTCACATTTCCTAATGCTTTTTCAACTTCATTAAGACTAGGGGGACTTGGGTCGATTTGCCATTCAGGATGACTGGAGATCGTGGGTAACTGAAGAGTGGCTCGAGGCCAGTTGAACTGATCCCTAAAGTGTTCTGCCCATCGATCCAGTCTCCTGGATTGAGAATAAATGAGAGTCCCGTCATTTTCTGAGATAGTCTCACTTACACTAGGATTCCTAATACCAGTTTCCTTGATAAGTCGGAAAAGTTGTCTACTGTTGCCGATCGTCTCTGCCTTTTCCATCGCTTTTGACTTCGCCACCCACCACTGTTCGCGATCGTTACGTAGGCTTTAATTAAGTCTGTGCCTATTTGAATTCGTTCTTCATCATGTTCAGAGCCAGGTGGGATGCGTTTTCGGGCATCCATCAGATCGGTGGATGCTACTGAGATCCATGGTTTCATTCTAGCCTTATGGTCGACCTTACTAGCAGATATCACTGCTGTTTCCACAGCCTTTTTGATATCATTCCATCCTGCTTCCGCATGGGAATCGCTTAAATAGTCGCCCAACTGTCATTCTAGTTGTTCCTGAAATATATTCTTCGTCTTATTATCATTAATTAAAACCCTAAAATATATCTTACGATGTCTTTCTTGAGATATTTTACTTGCGTCCAGTAAGCTTCAAACAAATACTCGCTCGCACTAAGGCATGATCTGAATCCAAACATGTGCTCCAGAATAAGCGACAGTCTTCTACCGAACCGCTCCATCGGTAGCTGATGGCGATGTGATCTAGTTGCTTCCAACATTGAGACGACTTTGGAGGTCGCCAGGTCAACAGATGCTTTTCCTTATGACTGAAGTTAGTGTTTGCTCAGAATAGGCGGTTGTCTGAGCATACTTGCAACAGATGGTCACCATTGTCTGTTCACTGAGCCGCGACACCATAACATCCACCTAGGTGTCTCTCCTGCTCACTCAGTCTACCTACTTGAGCATTAAAGTCACCAGCCAATAATACTATATCAGAGCGCCTAGCTTTTTGGAGGAGGTCCGAAAGCTTTCTGTAAAACTCATCTTTAACCTCGTCTGAAATGCAGTCAGTGGGGACATAGGCAGATACGATGAAGAGGCAGCGGCGATTGTCCCTATCTTTCCGAGTCCTAACTGTCCCATTTGGTCGGACAGCGCACAAGCGACTATCTACTGGGATCCAGTCAAGGAGAAATTGTTCAGCCCTACGACTCAATGCTATTCCTACGCCAGCAAGACCCCTGGAAGCAGCATCAGGGCTACCGGATAATCGAAGAGTATCTGAAACCAGATTAATAATTTTACTAGAATCCTTTATGCGCGTTTCCGAGACGCAGCACACATCGATGAAACGAGATTCCAAAGTCCTAACTAATGATGCCTGTTGCCTTATTTGACACAATGTCCGTACATTGAATGCTCCAACATGTAGTTTGGAACGGGGTTTAAGGAGACCAGGTTTATTTATATTTATCTGAAATGACATTTACACATTCGGTTACAATTGTTAATAATGTTCATGCTGCATGCTACATCACTTAAAAGAATATCTAATCTATAGCAGGACCTGTTGTTATGCTCAGCAGAGATGAGTATCTTTGTCATTATCAGTCTAAATATTAAGGTCTTTGCTTAGTTAATTCTGATGCACAATAAATCATCCAAATCACTAATGATTTGCATTATTTCGCTGAACAACAGATAACGCACTTATAATACATATTCAATCTTTTAAACTAGGCTTTAATAAACTAGACGTAATGTCCTGATAAAAGCACTTATCATTACTTATCAACATAATACAAAAAAACCATAAAATTCATACTCATACTAATCTGAAACGTTTGATGAATCCCAAGATGTGCATAAACTATTGGATGAGACAATGATACTTCTATTTTCGCCTATCATCTTTTGAGATTACCAGCTGAACTGTATATCTAAAACTTTAGTCTGTTTGCAGAGCACCTAAAACAACATAATGTGATATCGCATTAAAAGTGTTGATACTGTTTTCAGAAAAATAGCATCAAATAAAAAGTCACGAGAAACCATACATCAAAAATATTCTACTTACGTAGTTCCTCAAGTTGAACGTAGATGGCAAACGTGGCAATGATGACCAACGAAATAAAAAATTTTGTCATCGTCAGTTTGATAAATGAGTTGATTTGCTGATTGAAGAATAATTTATTTGCTAAAAACTTATCTATATATAGTTTAGATTAGTTGATCATGATCATATATAATTGGATGTAAAGAATAGCACCAATTAAATGAATTAGCTAGAAACAATCCAATCAATGTTAAGATATTTTCTAACTGAAATCAAACGAGACACATTCATAGTTTATCAAATGATTGGTGTATTTCATCATCTACCCAAACATAATCATTGAAAGTGTACACATGAGATGGAACGACAAACATATTATTGTACACTTGACACTAGAAACAACTTTATGTATTGTTCGTGATAGAGTAAGAGAAAGTAGTGATCTTGTAGTAGTACTAAAATAGTCGTAGGTTATATTATTAACAGTAGCAGTAGTAGTCGCAGCGGCCATCATGATGATCAAACCATTCTGAATATTTAGCTTGGTTGTTGTCTAAATGTGTATTTATGTACTATGTATGAAACAAAATAAACATATTAAAATTTTACTAGATTCAGAAAAAGTGTTGTTCCATAAGATGTGATTGACTCACTGTATTAAATTACTGTTGAACAGTTCAAAATTTAGACATACTGACTGGATAGGGGGATTTTCTCAACATACTGAAAAATTCCATGATCAGTATATTTAGGAATAAAAGGGGCACGCATTAGGCTTCAAATTAATTAATTCGTCATAAACAACAGCTTGTTTGAGTAAATCCGAGTTCAAATTATTGGTCTTTTGAAAGTAGATGTAGAGTATATGAGTCTTTTAAACTGAAATCCGAGGAACATACAATTCTAAGATGTTTAGTTACGGATTTTGGTAATAGACATCGTCATACAGCTCGTCAAATGACATAAAAAGTAGGTTTCAAATCGCGTAGGTTGATATAACAGAAGAGCCTAATGTGTAAAATCAAGGGGTCAATATATGATTTTGCGACACATAACGTGGTTTAAATCTAACTAAATAAACAAATATGATTGATAATATGCAGAATGCCAACAAGAATATCAGAATAATTGCCGAATAATGTTAGAAATGCAATCAAAATTGGATTTTCGAGAAATAAAATGCTTGACACAGACAAACATCTAGAAAGATTACAATATAAATACGTAAAAAGAGAAGAGGAAGACGTAGGAGTGAAACTGCTTTTGCTCAGTCGCTAATTCTGGAAACATGAATATTTTCAGAACAGTCGGTGTAGTGATCACGATTCAGTGTTCTCTAATACAGACTGCAGTCACATAAATGAAATAATCATCTCTTTTTCTTTTTCACATCTTTGTTATTTCTTCTCAATGTTTTTGTTTTTTTCACTTTCTGTTGACCTCACTAGGTTCCGGTTTTATAATTAAATTATGCGTACTTTTTTGAAAATGGCATGATGTACTCTTATTTATGAATGTCATTCAAATTACTTCTGATGAAGTAAATGGACTGTGAGCAGGCTTGCCTGCTCAATATTATGAATAGCAAGAAATATCATTCTACCGTGTGTGATGGATGTTCCGATGAAAATGAGACCAGTTACATTGATCCATGTGAGACTGCGGAAATATAGTGATTTTATCATGCTTATTACATCGGGTCAGTAATTTCGTTTGTAGAAACAGTGGAGATCCGAAAGTGAGAGACTATGAGAATTGAGATTGTCCAATCTTTTCCACATTTTGAGGCTAAGAATAAGCCGTTTCACTCTTAACACATCCATCTCAGAAAACTCAGCACTGAAAGTTGCTTGATGACTGCTGTTTTACAGTTTGGGATTCAAGGTAGCCTACCTGGACGCTGGTAATTATCTCGTTCGTATTTATCGATCAAGATAAACTCGTAATAGCTTTAAGAGTATAGAAAGACGAACCTTATAATTGGTGACGGTAGTTTTGGAAACATGGATCCTGCCAAACTTGAATTATTACTTGAACAGCAGATAGAACTGATGCAGATGTTAACAGACATGAGGATTTCCCCCTCCACACAGCCAAGCTCGTCTAATGCAACCACAGCATCATCGGCCAACGGCATCGCAAATAACATAGCTGAATCCCATTATGATTCTGATGCTAAGGTTACTTTTGACATGTGCTTCCAAAGTTATGAACACTTATTTATCTTTGATTTCGCCAATCAACGGAACAGTCCATTTAGGCAACATCGATGCAGGAAGTGTAAGTTCACCGGTCATAAAGATGGTTTTTGCCTGAAGGGAAAGTCGAAGCGATTCAGAAGCTGATGACGCAGTTTTCAGCCATTTTTCAACCTAGATTATTTCGATGCACTGCTCTGTGGGCCTCACTTCGGTTGAAACCTAAGACTAAGCCTGCTCCACGTCCAAACGGAATCATACCTTATGGAACAATAGCAACAGTGGACGAAGAGTTGGATCGCCTTCAACGTCAAGGAGTTATCACTCCCGTTTCTTACTCTGTTAGGGCAGCACCTATAGTCGTTATCAAGAAGGCCAACGGCACGATACGTATATGTACTGACTTCTCAACAGGTCTCAATGCATCATTATCCTCTGTCAGTCCCAGCTGATCTGTTAACTAAGCTGAATGGTTGAAAGTTTTTCTCAAACTCGATCTAGCTAATGTTTATTTGCCAGTGGAAGTCCATAAAGCATTGAAAGGGCTGCTTACTATCAATACTGATTAAGGTTTGTTCAAGTACAACTGTCTGCATTTGGAGTAAGAACTGATCCATCTATCTAGCAACTACTATCCGATCAGATATCTCAGGGGTCGCAGCATACCTCGATGATATAATAATTGTTGCGAAGACATTAGAACAGCTACATGAACGCATGAAATTGGTACTTGAACGCATCATTAATAACGGGTTCCGGTTACGCTCAAAAAATACCACTTTTTGTAGGAGTCGGTAAAGTATTTGGAATTCATCTTTGATGGCGACGGTTGCAGACCAAATCCTGAGAATATTCGAGTTATCAAACTGATGCCCACTTCCACTAACATCTTACAATTACAAACTTTCCCGTATTATTCAGTTATCATTCAACATTATTTTCAAAGTCTTGCATTTCGGCTTATTCTGCAAATCGTCTTCAGCCATTTTCCTTGGTGCTTTTCTCTGTGTACCGCAATACAGTCATCACAGATATACAGGGTGCTCTCCGTCATCAGCGGCAGTATTCATGATGCATTGTGAACGATTGTACGATGTTTGGTGAAAAGTAGTGATTCCAGTATCCCTTCGTGAAAAGTGCTGAGACAGTGCCACCTCGGACATCCAGGGGTTAAATAAATCAAGTCCATGTCCAGGAGTTGTGCATACTGGCCTCACATGGATCAACATGTCACAGCGTTAGTCGAAATATGCATGCGACGTCAGCAAGCGGCGAACATGAATGCCATAGTTTCCCCGGTTTCATGGCCCAAACGTGAGCAAACTTGGTCCAGGATACATGTCTCCATCGTCGGTCAAATTAATAGAACTTTATATTTGGTTGTGGTCGAAGCTTTCTAAAAATGGCCAAAAATCATCTCCGTAAAGCCGCACACGACAAATAGGAAAATACAGCCCCGCACTGAAATGTCCTCTTCAAATGACATACCAGATGTGATCGTATCTGACGATGGGTCTCAATTACCCTCCATAAATTTCCGAAATTTCTGTCAACGGCTAGCCATCAGGCACTTACTCACGCCACCACAAGCCACGCAATCGTATCGGCAAGCGAAAAGGTCTGTCGATGCGTTTAAAAGAATATTGGTTAATGCTGTAGGTGGATGAACACCAGATGAAGCGTTAACAAAAGTTATGTATGTCTATCGAAGAACATGATAATTTGATACAAATATTCAAATCCATAAAATGCATTAAACAGAAAATGAAATAAAGAAAGAATGAGTAAGATCATATAACGATAATATGTATGCAAAGCATTTTTCAAAAAAAACACCAGATTTAAAATATTCGAACATAAGGCTTTGTCCTCTCATACACAATATCGGATAAACAATATCCACGATTTCTACAAACAACATCGCCGACATGATACTAATGTTTCCTCAGGCTCACATAGATCATTGTAACTGGTCTCATTCTCATCGGAACAACGATCAGACATAGCAGAATGACCCCATTACTTACTCATTGTATTCTGATAGATAAACGGCTCTTTCTTCGTTCAAATTGCAAGAGATCCAGTAACGGTTGTCAGATCATCAGTTTGTAGTGCCTGCACGTATATTCGAGTTTGCCTACATATAATTTTGTTAAGCATTTTTGATTAATTTATTTATTCAAGCAATTTGTAAAACAATAACTTATATGTACCATCGGCTTTTATTATTGTGTGGTTTGTATGAGCTAATATGACTGCGCATTGCTTAACGCTCACGCGCATTTGCACCATATTCGCTTTAATATTGATCTCTTAAATATCACCATGACTGGGACATTTTCCTATGTATATATACGAACATTTTAATCTTATTAATTCACTCGCACATACACTCGCACATTTGCCCATTCACTCGCTAGTGAGCCTGCCCGGCCTGCTTGTAGTCTGCTATCCTTATTTATGGTGTGCAAAAAATAAACTTATTCAAAACTTTGAGTTAACCTTCTGAATTATAAACCGTCAGACGCTATTTAGTACCGATTGTCTGAACGAGGTAATTACGAAGATTATGAACACGTAGAAATTGGTCACTACATGTCATCTCATTACCTTTAGACATGGTAGAATACGTGCTAAGTTTGCGCATGAAATAATCTACAGATGGACAATTGAGGAAACTTGGTTGTGCAGAGTTAGATGTGTTTCACTGTGTTTTCAGAATTCATATGAATTACTCAATTCATTGCTCTCCACCGATTTGTATTGGGTAACTGAACTTCATTCCATGAAAATGGTCCAGCGTTTCCAGTGATTTCTTAGCATCACATGGAGGTCTGTTCAATGATTATTCTGGTTGGCGTCTTCCAATTCGGTCAGTAACAGTTACAGAGAA